AGTAGTACTGATAATTTTATTCTTAAAAAATTAAAATAATTCTATTCCATTTCCAAACAGTTTTCAGAAGAGGACTTGTTAAAAAAAAAAAAAAAAAAGTTAGTTTTCAGATCAACCATCTTAGATATTTTTAAATAATCATGGTTCAAAAGGAGGGGCAGTTACATCCTCTATGTAAGATTTTTGAAACCACCTTATAACCCAGTGGTTGCGCGTGCAGTTTTATTACAGATGTGATTCCCTGCCTGGCTCTCAAAGTTAAGCCCAGTTTTTCAATCATTAAGAAAAAACCTTAAGGCAATTAAAAAGAAATCTATACACTCTTTTTGATGCAAGAGCAAGGGGTGGCTTCTGTTCTATCGGTCTACATGTTATTTTTTCTTTAAAGACTAAATATCAGCAGCACGATACGCAGAGGCTTTGTAAGAAAAGCTTTTTTTTTTCCCCCCCTCTGTAGTCAGCTTTGGGTCCGTTGTCCTTATCTCAGAGGCAGCTCGCAAGGTAATTTTGCAGCCTCTGCTGGAGAGCAGCCTCCAGCTCCAGCTGGGCCCCCGTTCTCAGAGGCTGGTCATGGTGGTGTGGACAGCACAGGTCCCAGCACCGCCCCGCATTCCCGCGTTCTTCACATTGCGCGCATGGACAAAGGCGGTGAGCTGTCCCTCCGCAGCGCCGCTCCTCGGCGGGGCACACGCCTCCCACCGGATTCCACCTCGGAGACGGCCGTCGGCAGCGTCAAAGGGCCTGGATTGTCGGGGAGCGGGAGGGGGCACAATTAGTACACGGGTACGGGGGGGGAAGGAGGGTGGGGAAGTAAAGCAGAGGTAACGAGAGGAGAAGATGGATGCGAAAAGGCAAGGGAAAAGGGCAGTGCTGGAGGGTAAATGCTGAAGGGAAGAGGCATGCAGCGTGCGTGTACACGAGGACACTGTCAAATAAACCCCCTTTCTGCTCAGTATCACACACGTTTTTGCAGAAAGCTTAACCTGTCATTTCAGACATCTCATGTGCACATTGTCTCCACTCACCAAATGAACAGCACTTTGGATTTCAAAGCACTTCACTAAACTGAGCAAGAACCATGAGCGTTTTACAGAAAAAAATAAGGTGATAGAGGCAGAGACCTCCCAAGTACACAGGGCACTTCATTGGCAGGAGCTGAAGGGGTTTAAGTGGCAGCTCTACATGTACACCCGAAACAAGCATCTACAAGCAGCAGGAGTTTCCCAAGTCACTGGAAAATGCAGATTCTAATGCAAGTTAAAAAAAAAAAAAGGGGGGGGGGGGGAAGAAGAAAACAGAAACTCGGAAAAACAAGCATTACTGTGCAAGAGCAAACAGTAGAGCACACACAAATCATTCACAATTTTAGTTGATTAAGGGACTAAATACTACTGCGGAAGCTGACTGTAGCTATACTTCATTAACATAAAAAACTTAGTTGGAAAAAAGAACCATTTTTCAAAAGGTCACAACACAAATTAATACCCTGCTTTCTAACTTTGCATATGAAGGTATAATGGTTGGCAAATTTTTTATTTTGAATTCTTAAAATCAAAACCACAGAAATGTCGTCTGCAGTTCTGGCCAGTCTACCCCACAGCTAGAATAAAGTCCTCCAAAAGCTAGAAAGAGGAGCAGGGGAGAACATTCACCACTTTAAATGGTGTTTTGAAAAACATGTTTATGCAGGAGCACTTAGCCAGAAAACTGCAAGGCTTCAGTCACAAGCATCTCAAAAGCAGCAGGGATAAGCAATTTACTGGAAAAGTTGAATTTTAAAAGACTTTTAAAAAAACGGACAATGATCTGTTAACCGTTGCCTGTGTTGTACTGAGACCTCACATACCAAGATGTATGTTTTAGGAGAGGCTGATGCAAGGGACAGCCAGGTATCAAAAAGGTGCTTGGGAAAAAGCACTCTCTCATAAAACTAGTCAAGCAAGGAAATTCCTAAAACAAACCTACTCCTTCAGTTTAATGTAAAATTCTCTATTTAATGACCCAAATCTAAACCAAGCAGAAATATTGTTGCTGTTCATCTAGAGGGGTCTTGGACATCCCTCAGCTCAAATTCCACCTTCTCCTGTTCCAGAAAGCCAGCTCCTGGTTTATGGCCCCCAGCCCTGCCAGAAGAGCCCAGCAGCAGCGCAGGGGTGGGAGGCAGAAAAGCATGCGGGATTCACCACAGCGGTCAATGATTAACGTTCAGAGATAGTCCTCCTTTAGAAGAGAGAGAGGATTTTTATACAAAAGTCACCCATGGGTAAATTCAAGGTTTGTTTTTTGGGCAACATGCTGAGGAAGTGACCCGTGAACACTGAAGGCTCCCATCCTCAACAGTTCGTTACATTATTTCCCCATTTCTCTAATTTAAGTGGTTAAGTGAAAGTTACATCCACCAGCAAGGGAAAAAAAAAACAAACAAACCAAAACAAAATAAATACAAAAAAACTCCACAAACAAAAAAGCCAAAACCCTAAAATCCTCTACTTATTGCACAATAAGGAAAAAATTATTAATTTTTAATAATTAATTGTCTGCTGTCCTATCTTAGCATAGAAACAGCTTTTTGAGAAAAACCTAAAGCTAGAAAGACATTGTCTTTTAGGCTTCCCAGCCTTGCAGCCAATATTCCAGGCCGTTTGCAGACCACGCAGCAGTACAGTTTTCCAGTACTGACAATTTTACAGGAAGGGAGCAAAATATAAAAAAAAAAAAAAAACCAAAACCCACACTAAAATCCTTCCTGTCTGGCAAAGTACTTTCTACAATCTGGCCCAACTGCTGTTGGCAGCTGCAGCATTAACATTTTAAATTAAAGGAAACATTGCCATTAGGAAGGGCTCTAAGCTGCAAGGCAGCCAACGCAGGCATCTGCCAAGCAGAGTACAGAAACTCATGAGGTCGGGACCTTACTTCTAAACCCCTTCAATCCAACCACCTACAAAATCTCCAGTCCAAAAGATTTTGGTGTTCTCAACAACCCTTGGCAAACTCTCTCTAAAAGAAGACTATTTTTCTGACAGAAAGCAAAGATAATTCATGCAGAAACAGGCCAATTAAAGACAGTAGCAGTTGAAAAGAGATCTTGTTGGCAGCATCCAGACACCAAGACGTGAAGGCGCAATAGCCAAGTCACAGCCCCCGCAATAAATATGGATGTCCTGGCAATTATGTTAACCAAACCCCACTTCCCATCTAGGAAACCAGAATGTAGCTCAGTTGCCGACTCAGCTCCAAACTGTTGTTGTCTTCCTACAGCTGGATTTGCCCTTTGTTACAGGCAGTCCTGTTTCCAGAGAACGCATTAAAACTTCTTCGCCAGAAGACAACTGCCTTCAATAATAATGACGTGGCTCTCAGAAACGTAACAGAGAGGCAGTACGAGCATCACGGTCTCAATCAAAGCACATCAATTGCCAAGAAGGTCATTTTCTTTATGGCACACTGCTCTGCATCACGTGCAGGTATATTTTATATTCACCCCCACTCTTCTCTATAGGAAGGCTACATAGTGTGGCAGCTGGCACGGAAGCTTAGATTCCTGGACAGTGTTAAGACAGACAGGCTCAAGTTCCTAATCCTAAAACAAGCGTACCGAGACCAAAACTGAAACAGATTGGAGACAGAGTCCTCTCTGTGTCTGAACAAAAGCAGCAGGATTCCAATAAGCAACAGAAGCTTTGCAAATACTAGCAAGAAGGCCAGCACGAATCAGACCCCCGAGAAGAGCTGTTTGGAGCAAAAGTCAAACATTTCCACCAAAGGAAATACCGGTTTCTAGCACACCATCTTGCAATCAAACCAAAAGAATAAAAATAAAAACATGTTGAGAATGCTGAAGGATAAAGAAACCACCACCTTTCACCCACCACCATGGAAGGATTCGAGCGATCAACAGGATGTCACCACAGACAAGCACAGATTTCAGATACTAGATAAATCGAGGGCAAAAGAAAGAAAAACAGCATTGATCACATGTTCTGATTGAAACTTCAATAAAATGCAACGCATAAAGCAGAATTACCATCCCCCTTATAATCCAAAATTCATAGAATTAAAAGTCTTTAATCAGTGATTTATGAAATCAAAGTACTTTTGCCATTGCACTGTTAGAAACCAATTATCATCTACTTTTAAGAGATACTGAAGGTTTATGTGCCCAACAATTGGAGAAGGACCTTTTCTCTTGAGGGCTGAAACTGCTCAGGATAAGAGCTTTTGTGCTGCTCCATTCCATCGCTGCTGCTCCTGGAGTGTCCCTCAGAAACCAGAATTACCATTCCAGGATAAGCCACACTGTCTTTGAATGCACAAGCAGCTGAAAAAGTTAAGACGACGTGTGCACAAGTACTGGATTGATATATTTCAGTTTTGGTTTTGAAATTGCTTTGCAATACAGAATTACTTGAAGAAAAGATAAATGATACGTTCATTTATCTTCAAACGATTCATTCTTGTTTTGAGATGCATCCAATCCATAAAACAAATAATCTGATTACATGAAATCACAGCTCTTATCTTCAGCTTATGTCATTTCCTCAAGCTCCCATTCTACCCAGGATAATGAAAAAAATCAGCTTGCCCATTTCAGAAGGTACAAAAGGCGATTCACAAGGATATTGGTTTACAAGATTCTGCATTTTGTTAAGGATGAAGGTAAGTCCTTGGGCCCCACGATACCAAGCAAAGGGTTACAAGGAACATTATGGCAAACGAGGAGGACTCAGCTCTCTCCAAGACTTGAAAATGCTGTTGCTGATTTAATCATTTCCTCAGCTCCTGAAGAAATTCTCTTTTGGTTGGTGGTGACTAATGCTGCTGTCGTCACCTCCCCACACTACATCCACAGCAACAAATCAGCTGCATCATCACTAACTTGACTGTCAACTTACGTTAAAGATACAAGGATGGCAGCTTATGTAAGTGCAGATAAAGCAACAGACCCTTGAATCATGCATAAGCAAGCAACGTTCATTTCCCAGCGAAGCAGAACATACCACTTCTTGTCTTGCTGGCCGGCTCCGGGGCTCCTCGGGAGGTTTTCTATTTCCACTAAGACTGGGGCAGAAGGAACCGCTGTTAGGACAGGGAGGCTTGGGTTTGCGTTCCAGCGCTTTGGAGACAGGATACAAACAAGAAAGTTACTTTACACACATCAATGCAGCGATGACAAAACGCGTCACCACTCCTCCTTAAGCACAAAGCTCAAGCAAGGCTGTTGTCCTCCATTACCTCGACAGCACTGGATGCCCAGCCTTTCCCAGTACGGCACACAGCACTGGGATCGCAATGAATCCAAGGCTGCTCCAAGATTTCAGTAAAAAGCTATGGCCAGCTGTTTCCTTTTTAAAGGAAAGCAGTTTCTTTTAAGGAAAGCACTAACACTTTCCTTACCCTGCACTAACGATTGGCACCTTTGGATTGCAGGCCTTTGGGCTGCCATTTGAAATGTAACTGCTCCGGAAAAAAGCCAACTCCTTTTGCACAGAAGACTGGGTAGAGCCATCATCCACCAGCGGAGACTGAGTATTTTGATATTAAAACAAACCATCATCCCCCTTCCACCAATATGTGACCCTTCCTGTCACACTCTGCATCTGAAATGCCCCAGAAAGCGAGTCAGGGTCTTTCCAAACTCCAAGTCCTGTTTTTTTCATAGGGAGGAGACTTACTTTACACTAATGTTCCCTTTCAGTGACACAAGGTATTCTGTGTACAAGTACTGAGGGGACAGGCGTGTCTGGTTTCATCCTCAAACTCAGAAAACACCGAATTTTTGCTAACAACGAATTCTTTACTTTCCCCTCTTTCAGAGAAGAAAATACTGTAACCAGGAATCAACACAGATGCTGATGAATTGTGCCCCCCCCCCCCCCCTTCTTTTTAAGTATACCATA